AGGGAAGCATCTGTAAAATACTGACAATTCAAACGACATGGAGGAAGAGAAACCCCCATGGTAGTATTGGTCTGATCCATCCACCAGGCAAAGTTCATAAGTAATGGAGAGGGAAGGGTAAGACGAGCCTCCAAGGGATCTCGGACAAAGCACCACTGGTTGATTAAAGCTCACTGTAGATGGCGCATGTGAGCACAACCAAGGGGAATGAGTCTCAAGAGAGGCCATCTCCAAAGAGATAGAACCTCTCGTGCAGAAGGAGAAGGTGATGAGGAGACCTTGTAAACTAGCCATTCCATATCTTGCAAACAACGTGGAGAAGGCTGGGTCCCGACTCCTCCACTTTGATGAGCCAACCAACCTGGGCAGCTTCCAAAAAAAGAAACAGAGTATGGAAATCAGAGTTGGCCTATAAGAATGCCAGCAGTAGACAGTCACCCATGTAATGGTAGAAACAAAGGCCCAGGGAATGAAGCAGTTAAGCGAATGACTGAAAAACTTTGTAAAACATATAGGGGCTGAAACTAGGCCAAATGGAAGATCTTGAAACTAAAAAACATGCTGTTAATAAACAAAGAGAAGAAAATATCCGGATGCTGGGGCAATGGAAATATGAAGCTAAGCATCCAACACATCAACAAATCTGGAGTGAAACCCCAAAAGAGAGTTAAGTATGACTGCATGCTGAACTTGTGAACAACAAGGAAGAGATTCAGAGACAATAAATCGATCACAGGGCACCAATCTCCTGTATTTTTGGAAATGACAAATAGACAAGAATAAAACCCCCAGATGAGAAGGATCTCCTCATTCATTGACACCCTTTAGAATTAAATCCTGAACTGCCTCCAACAAATGCTGGCACGAAACTGTATATTGCTGAGAGGGGAAGAGAATTGGATGGGGCAACAATGGTGGGAAAGACAGGAAATGGTGAACCAGACCTTGGGAAACAACCTTCAAAACCCATGAATGAACCATAGAAGTCCTCCAAACATGGGCAAAGTGAAATAGTCTGGTGCCCTTCAGCTCCAACCCGAGTACCAAGTCACCAACACTGATTGCCCCAAAGATGATGCTGATGAAGTCAAAGAATGAGCAACCAGGGCTGGCAGAGGAATAGAAGAAGGGTGGCTTGACACTGATACAATAACAGGTAGTTGAGACAAACGAGAAGCCAAAGAAGAAATGAAGTGATGTAAATGGGTTGATTCAATCCTGGACTCCAAACTGTCAGGGTGACCCCCAAAGACTTCTTCCTGGGAAAATGATGCCATGCGTAACTCATGCAAGGATGAAGCAGGTAAATGAACCCTGAAAATAGAGCATCCCAACCCAAAAAATTCCAACAGTATATAAGCCACATCTGTAAGGTCAAGGCCAAATAGGAGAAGCATGCCATAGTAAGAAAAGGATTCCTCAGAAAAATTCTATGGAGACCAATTAATACTACCAAGAAAGGATGATGGGAGGATAAGGCACAAAGAATGGTAGGCATGGTAAGATGAAGACAGGAAAATTGAGGTTAAGGAAACCAAAGTATTAGGGTCCAAACCCCACAACCTCCAAACATTATGAGTCTATAAAGGGGGTAGTTGGCACAATGAAATGTAAAAGCATGATTGTCTGATGTATGTGGTGAGCAAGGCATTGTGACCTTTGATCTCAACTGTTCCCCAAAATAACTAGCATGAACCCCAATATCCAATGAAGGTGGAAAACCAAATATTGACCCAAAACTTCGTCATTAAGAAATGTAGGGGTAGAATCATAGGAAACAGAAGATAAAGACAAAATTTAACATAACTGATTTATCAAGTCAACAAAGGGTGAAGGAGGCCTGGTCAGTTCTCCTGAAATGAGAAGTATAATAATTAGGGGGAAAAAGTTATCCAAATTCTCATCCTTCCTGTCAGGCACAGGCAAGATGGGATACTCCTCAGGTGGTGGTAACTGCTGAATAAAGTGAGACAATTCTCTATGAATCACAGAAGTCATGTCATTGTCCAACAACTGTGAGTCCGACCCTGAAGACATGGTTGATAATCATGCCTGAGCAGGAACAGTAGTACTTGAAACTGTGAATGCACACTTGCAAAGTATAAACTCAAACTAATGAAACACAAAATAACAAGAAAAAAATTGTACTAAAATCAGTGATTCCAATATTTGGGAGCAAAAACAAACACGTCTTAACAGTAAGACTACCGACCAAGAAATGATTAACAGGTGCATTATTAGAGAGGGTATTAGTTATGATAGGAGTAGTGTCCCACTCCTATTGGTGGAGGATTGCTACATGATCATTTACATGTAGACATGCAGAAAGAAGCAGGGGTTACAAGGCTAGTGGCAAGCGAAGAATTTGTGCCAATAGAGAGCAGAAAGCTTTCTGTGAGAGTGGAGGTAAGATATTGTGTCAGAAGAAATGTCTTCATTACAATGATTCTTGTCCAGTCTAAAGATAGTCAAAAATTCATTTAAATTTATCACAATTAAATGCAACTATGTAATAAATGTATAAAATTTTAAATAATTTGCATTTCATCATCTCTTTGTAAATGCCATTATTTGGATCCAGTATAAGTTTTTTGATAATTATAAACATTCAAATTATTTTGGTATTTCATTTGATATTGTGACTTTAAAAATATATATAAAATCACAGTGCTCTTGGTGCAGGCCAGCACTAATTGTTAATGTTACCAAAGTTTGGTGTTTGTTTTGTCATAATTAGATTTGTATGATGGAGCTTCCTACAACAATAGCATAGTGCTTTTCCAACAATTTGTTTTTTTTGTCATAATTAGCTTTTCTTATGAAGTAGTTTTCATTATATAAATATAAAAACATTTTAAACCTTATATGTGTTATTTGCAAAACAAATTTTTAAAATATACTGTAGTTTTATTGAAAACTGAAAAACGATTTCTTCATATACATATCAATAAGTCCATCTACATTATGCATAAAAGAAGTTAACTAAAAAGCTTTTAAATCTTCTTTATATAATATGCGAGATCCTGTTTTATCTAATACTAAATTATGATTTCACAAAAATTAAGCAACAAAACATTTCTACTTTTACCTAGAGTGTCGTTTATGCAATTCTTTATATGTGATCTATTTAATATCATCACATTTTAAATTTTGTCAGTAGTATACAAAGGGTTCAGTATGTTATATTAAAATAATTTTGAATATGCAAATCAACAAGTCATATGACAACCACAGCTGATATAATGTTGCAGTGGTGTCTTTTAACATAACACAGTTCATGTGTATAAGGTTTGTATATTGTTAAGCACAAAATAACACTATGGGTTATCTGCGCTGTGCCTAATGAAAGTTAATATTTTCCTAAACTGAAAATATATTTGATAGATACTTACCTTCTCTCACAAAACAGCTTTTCTCAATTTGTGCTGTCCTCTATAAGCATAAAATTTTAGCTCACCAATAGCCTTTATACTCCCACTAAATTCCACATGCAAATAACCATGCGACAAACATCCACAAACAGGACTGCAACACACCCTCCTAGTGCAGCTGACTCCCTCTATGCAGTAGAACCCAATCTTTACTTCAAGATTAGGCACGAAAAAACACACCGAAAGTGGGGAGGATGGGTAGGAAGTGTCAGAAGAGGTATCTATTGGAAATATATTTTCAGTTTAGGAAATTATTAACATCCAATACAATAACTTATTTTTGCTCATGAAACAGATAGAATACCACACTGACCCAGTGTAGAAATTACCAAGGTGAGTCACCCCCAGAAAGTGTCTGGAGAGGACTCAACAAGTGTCATCTCAATGTAGAGAAAACACATGTGGGAGAGCACACCACATCTGAACTGGGTATACTCTTTGCCTGAGATGAATGACTGTGTCACAAAATGGGTGGAGAAATGTGATATGTCTGAAAAAGTACCATTGTTGTAGTGTGGCTAAGGCACGACAGACCATAAGCTGGAAGTCAACTCCAGTCCAAAACTGATCATATTTCTTCAATTTTATATAAAACATACTTAAACAATTATACATTACCAGGACTCTAGAACATTCCTGAACTAGAAGCTCATGAGATAACAGATGAATGAACTGCACATGATAGAAAGCATAAACAATCAGATTTTAGAACAAGAGTATTAAACTAAACATACAAAGAATTAAAGCAGTTTTTCACAACACTGTGAAATTACACAAAATAATAATATCTATGATAAATTATTAACAAACTGAATGAATTTAACTTAAGTTAAAATGTCTTCAAGATTCTTCAATAAAGCAAGATCACTAACCAACATATAAATGAAAACTAAGCAGTAATAAGGAGAGTTGTGGGATTACAAATATTTTGATATTTGTAATTATGCTTACATTCCACCAATTATATTAGAATTCAGGTAATTACATAGATTTTACGTTATAAAACTCCTTACAATCATTAAAAGATACGGTTTTATATCAGTAGTCTAGTAAGGGCATTCTGTCTCTAGCCATTTTGCAATGAGCATATTTTACTTCCACTCGACTAGAGAAGGACATTTATGGAACAACACACATGATAACTTTGAGATATTCTCACAAAAATTGGTAAGATTTTGTTAAAGACTTTAATTATCTTGTACATAAAGAATGACATTATTCTAATTAAATCTTTCTAATAAAAATATGTTATTTACCTACAGTAGATAAATAACTCAAATTCTGAATAGTTCGAGTGCAAGGTGATTTTCATTTTAAATATAAAAATACTTTTCTTCATCTTACAGTTTCATATTTCATTTGCATATCCTCTAGAACCTCCTAAATGAATATCAAGTTTTTTTAAGGTAAATGTTTATATTATATTTTTCATTTTCTCTACCATATCACTAACTGTAGATATTATCATCAACATACAGTTCAATGAAATGTTTAAAATTAAGAAATGGAAAAAATGTAAATATGTTTTAATTCTTCCTAGAATATTTTAAAAGCAATTATTTTGGTTATATTCATAATTTCAGTTAGGTCTTTTCCTTTTCAAATATAGATAGTTTTTAATGTTTTATTTTCCTTTTCTATCTTTTAACATTTATTACTCATCTCAGCACAAATCGACAGCACCCTTGGTGCATAATTACGGTATCTTCATCAAAGATGCACAGGTCTTCAGCAAATTATCTTGCCCTTGTACAAGATCTTTAGTGTCTTGGAAATTGATCCAAAGTATGATGTATATCTTTAAAAATGTTTAAATCTTTCAATTATGCATTTTAAAACACAAATAATACATAATTAACTAAGATATAAAAGTAAGACCTAAATACAATATAACTGTCTATCTAACTATAACATATTTAGATAAGAAAAACTGTAAGTGTTTTAAAGGATAAAGCAGCCAATAATACTACAGGCAGTTACATCTACCCAATGATGACAACTGCATGCAAATTTCAAAATAACTGTTGTTGACTTATAGTGTAAAATGAGTTCATTCTAATGACCATATACATATATACGTAGCAACTACATGTATGCTATGAAGCTCAAGCAAAGTAAAGAAGGTGGATTTGGCACCCATCAGGGGTTGACAAAATTGATTACTTGTTTCTACTGCATTCAGCCAAAGAACTCTGAAACATACGAGTCAATAGGGAAAATAAGCATATATTACTGTCTAGACACATGTGTACAGGCCTGGCAGTATGTGGTTCAAGATTGAGAGACTGAAAGTTGAGATTTTTCATAACTCATGGGTCACATGACAATAAAGCTGAAGTTTTAAGTATTTTTTGAAATAAAATTCAGATAACATAAAACTTAGAATAATAACATACAATATGATGTTAATTTCATTCACATACATTGATAGTAAAAGTGTTTAATTAAATTTTGAATGTAACTCAGTGACTTGTGCAGAAAAGTGTTTAATGGGGTACCCATGTTTAAAGGGATTGTCCTCTGAAAAACATTTCACAATGTTTTTATCTTGAGTCATTGACCCTTTTCTTGTTAGAAATATTTTAGAGACCAGGACACAAATCTCATACCTCATAGAAGTGTTTTAGGTCTCTGTTATTTCCAACTCTTTGTCCACACTTAACAAATACAGGATTATCTTTTCAGGAGAACATTTGACCATAGAAAGGCCTAGCTATGATCTCTATCATAAATAAGTAACATTTACAACAATTTTTTTAAAGATACCATTCCTGAAATAGCTGCTCTAAGGACCAGAATGGTTCAGACATGTTGTCTGTAAACTTGTAATACAGCCTTTCCCTACTAACACGATTCCAGAATTTATGAGCCATCCGAATAGCCAATTTTTAGACATAATTCATAAAAGAAATAGAAAAAATACCAGCTTCCTTTCCTAAAGGTGATGATCATCAAGACAGCTCATATACAGCAATTTATAGAAAAATTCATAGATATTGAGAAGGGCCTTAACTGGAGATCAAAGCACCATAAAAGCATAATGTTGGATATCACAGACTTTCCTGTTTTAAAAAAGAACAAGATTTGGAACATAGAAGATAAGTCTTCTTGACAATAAAAACCTTGAATATTTGATGGAAAAGACAAATGTAAATGAAAAGCAGGAATAATAGTATATGAACACAACCAAATTCCTATGTGAAAATGATACAGTAAGAAACATATTGAGAAATTGTTTGTTTGTTTGGAATTAAGCACAAAGCTACACAATGGGCTATCTGTGCTCTGCCCACCACGGGTATCGAAACCCGGTTTCTAGCATTGTAAGTCCCCAGGCATACCGCTATGCCACTGGGGTGCTGAGAAATTGTCCAATCTCAGTTAGTGCAGAACACCTACTTAAAGAACAATGGAGAACAAAATCACTATATACATCATATATAAATATGAACTTCAGTATATGAGAAAAACAACAACAAAAGTCAGAATTCAAGGGCACAGCTTATGGACACAAGACTGTAACACAGATCTATCTGTAACAGTCCATTTTGTCAAAGAAAGATATCACATAACTGAGTAAAATCCCATCTATATCCATTTTTTTTTGCTAAACAATGCTTCAGTAGTCAAATAATTTTAGTACATACATCGTACGAGTTTATTTCCTAGTGGTCAGATTATTATAAAGGCTATTAGGCACGGTAAGTAGCATTCCTGCTTTTGAAGTGATGAACTAGATGGAAGACAGTTAGTTAACACCACCAACTCTTGTCAGAACAAATAGTGTGATTTAACTATCTTTCTTATAACACATCCATGCAGCTAAATTGCAGTAAGTGATTGTTTTCTCCCATGGTAATGGGACATGAACCATAAATCCTTAGTCTGGCATGCTGACCACTGGGTACCATGATAATTGTTGGTGTCCAGTCACAAGAGCCTTATCATAAATAAATAATTGTTGTAGACTTAACTTGTAAAAAACAAACATCCACTACTTTAAAGCCACAAAATCCTAACTATACAAAGGTTGCATTATGTAAAACTCACATGTCACAATTAACTAATCTGTTAATATTAAAAAGTTACTCTAATTATTGTCAAATGTATACAACTCTAGTTTTCCATAAAAGAATTCTGGTACCACAGATATTTTTTCACCCAACAAATCATAAACATTACAAAGGATTTTCTTTACATTATTTATAAGGATATTTAAAATTTTTGTCTCTCAAGTCTTTTGTAACACACTTGTTGTATCACTTCTTGATACTATTTGAAATAAGGAATATCTTAAAAGTTTTAACTACAGACATCATACCTGCATGCTTTCTCCACAATTTGTACCTCCTCATGGTTTAGGGTTTCATATTCTTTTCCACACACACTATACTGATATAGTATTACATGTGAACCATGTGAGTGTACCCTGTCAAGGGGATTATAACTTCCAATTTCTTTGCTACACACAACACAAATGTAGTTTCACACCATTGTGTGTCCACTGATACTAATATTGAAAACGTTTTACAGTTTTTTGTCAAAATATGTATTTTTTCATGTTTTCTGAAGTTAATATCAATTAAAAATTCTGTGTCAGACACATACATACACTGTACAGCTGTATGATTTCTCCCCAATGACTATTCATTGATGTTTCTTTACATAATCTTTTGTTACAAATTCTTTGGCACAGATTACACAGCTGTACTGTTACTCACTAGTGTGTAATATTTCATGTTTCTTTGTTTAAATCCATTAAAAGCTCTTGGACATAGAGTGAAAGCTGCCAAGTGTGTATCCTCTCATGGTCTTTTACACTAATTTTACTTCCCAACTTTTAGCAACATATTGTATGGTTTCTCCCCCGTATATAACTCTTGGCATTTCAGTTCATATCTTGACACAAATTCTTTGCCATAGTGTGTACTGCCTCATGTTCTTTCTTACAAATGTTTTATAAGATAGTTTACATCTGTATGGTTTATCTTCTGTGAGTATTCTCTCATGAGAATTTAACTGATGCAATGTTTTAAACATTTTGCAACAAACATAACAAATGTTTAGTTTCTCTTCAGTATGTATTCTCTCATGAGATTTTAGTTGATTCATTGTTTTAAAACGTTTTGAAATACAAAAAACAAATGTTTAGTTTCTCTTCTGTAGTTATTCTCTCATGAGATTTTAACTGATTCATTGTTTTAAAACGTTTTGAAATACAAATGTTTAGTTTCTCTTCAGTATGTATTCTCTCATGTACTTTTCCTTCACTCTTTAGTCTTTGACATATTTCTCAATTGTACAGTTTTTAAACAGTGTGAATCTTCTTGTGTCTTTTTAGATCAAAATTTCTTGCAAATTTTTTTCTACATATTACACAACTATATGGTTTTTCTCCAGTGTGTAATTTTTCATGAGTTTTCAGATTACTCTTTGTCCCAAATGTTTGGCCACAAACAAAACAAGTGTATGGTTTTTCTCCAGTGTGTATTTTCTCATGTACTTTTAATTCATTAGTTGTTCTACATTTTTTGAAACATACTATACAACTGTATGGTGCTTCTCCAGAGTGTATTATCTCATGTTGTTTTAAGTTACTATTTGTTCGAAATTCTTTTCCACACACTACACAACTGTATGGTTTTTCTCCAGTGTGTATTCTCTCATGTATTTTTAATTCACTATTTGTTCCAAATTTTTTGCCACACACTACACAACCATATGGCTTCTCTCTGGTATGTATTTTCTGATGATCTTTTAAGTTACTTTTTCTTCGAAATTCTCTTCCACAAATTATACAACTGTATAGTATATCTTCAGTATGCATTCTCCCATGTATTTTTAGTTCACTATTTGTTCCAAAATTTTTTAAACATACTATACAACTGTATGGTTTCTCCCCAGTGTGTATCCTCACATGTTTTTTCAGGTCACCTTTTCTTACAAATTTTTTGCCACACACTACACAACTATGTTGTTTCTCTCCTGTATGTAGTTTCTGATGATCTTTTAAGTTACTATTCCTACGAAATTCTTTCCCACAAATTTCACAACTGTATGGCTTTACTCCTGTGTGTGTTCTCTCATGTACTTTCAGTTCACTATTTATTCCAAATTTTTGGCCACATACTATACAACCATATGGTTTCTCTACAGTATGTATTTTTTGATGGTCTTTTAAATCACAGTTTCTTCGAAATTCTTTTCCACACACAACACAACTGTATGGTTTCTCTCCAGTGTGTATTCTCTCATGTACTTTTAGTTCACTACTTGTTCCAAATTTCTTTAAACATGCTGCACAACTGTATGGTTTCTCTCCAGTGTGTATCCTCTCATGTTTCTTTAGATCACCTTTTCTTACAAATTCTTTGCCACACACAATACAACCATATGGTTTCTCTCCAGTATGTATTTTCTGATGAATGTTTAAATCACTATTTCTTGCAAATTGTTTTCTGCACATTACACAACTGTATGGTTTCTCGCCAGTGTGCACACTTTGATGCATTTTTAAATGACTATTTCTTCCAAATTTTTTGCCGCATACTATACAACCATATGGTTTCTCTCCAGTATGTATTCTTTGATGTATTTTTAAATTACTATTTGTTCCAAATACTTTTCCACAGAGTAAACAACTGTATTGTTTCTCACCTTTACAAGGCTTAACAGATTGTTTCAGGTTATGTACACTTAAATTCATTTTTCCAAATACATTACTGTTTTGTTTCTGAGATTTGTTGACTTCTATTTCAATAAAGGGATCTGCTTGTGTTAAAACATGATCACTAGGAAACTGATTTCCAGATGTGTTCACACAGGTCTTTATATCTAAAATAAAAAAATATGGATTTGAAATATGTATTTTATTAATAACATATCATACAATAGTTTGACGAACTTTTAGGTACATTTCATAGTTAACAGAGTAATTATATACCTAAAGAAAAAAAAAAAAAGACAATAGATCTGGAAGATGAAATGATGTTACTGTCATAGTTTGAATGATTAACAAAAAGTTTCATTCCACGCTCCATATGGGCTGGCAGTCAAGAGGTTATGGAGCTCGACTCTCAACCTGCAGGGCACAGGTTTGAATCTGTATCCCACCAAACATGCATTATGATGTGATAGTCAATCCCATTGTTTGTTGGTCAAAGAGTAGCCCATGAGTTGACAGTTGGTGGTGTAGACTAGTTGCTTACCTCTAGTCTTTCACTGCCAAATTAGGGATGACTAGCACAGATAGCACTTGTGTAGCTTTGAGCAAAATTCCAAACAAACCAAAACAAGTTCCATATAATGTCAAAAGCATAGAGTGAAGTGTTTCTAAAAATGGAGGTAATATACAATGCTCAAAGAAAGGTTTGCAACTATAAAAACAATTGCCACAATAGCCAACATTACTTTTAGCCAGTAATTCCTGTATCAATATTCATTTGTTTGTTTGTTGAGTTGTCATGCAAAATTACTTGAGGACTATCTGTGCTAGCCATTACTTACTTTGAAGTGGTAGACTAGAGAGAAATTAATTAGTCAATATCATCCACAACTAACTCTTGTATACTGAACTGTGGGATTTGACCATTCCATAATAATAATAATAATAGGATCAAAACCAGGGAACTTCAGCTACACAGTATCACATGCTAGCCACTTGGCCATTTTCTGCTCATTTTAATGGATCAGTTATCTTTCTTTTTCAAGTGGTTGATGATCATGAAATATGTCTAATGCTTTATCTCCTTAGAATGTTGGCTAACATCAACACGTTTTAGAGTTCCTGTTTGAAAGATCTATATGCAAGTTAAGTAAACATACAGAAATACCAAGATTTTGACAAACTGAAATTACTTATCAATATGTTATTTATTATTTTATCAAGTTTACGACATAATCATGTGATTAGAAACAGTGTGAGTACTCAAAATTAACTCTTTTAGTACAAGCTCAGTAATGATGTTTTACAGTTAGATTCAAAAGTTAATTAACTTTATTATCAATGTAAGTCAATAAACATATTTAACAATTTCAATTTTTATATTACCTAAGTTTTATCAATTTCAAAAAGAAATATTTTAAATAATTCTCACTCTTCATTTCCTTATGTTGCATGATGTTTGTGTATTCTCAGTTCTCTCTTTTAGATTGTATAACTTCGGGATTATAACTTCTGTAGTCTCTAACCAATTAGAAACACAAGCTACAAATAATGAAAAGCCTAAATATGCAGTCTGAATCTCACACCTTCTCAGTTTGCTGAGACATAAATAACTCTGTCCAAACCACCAGAAAAGCTTTGCCCATCTGTCAATAACTTTCAAAGGTTTCTTAAGCCATGTGTCCTTATCTGATGGATATGTTTAGAATCAATAAATAAAGCATCTTTTCTTCTATATCAAGTTTATAATCATCCATCTGAATTTAGGGATAAAATATGGTAGTAAAAGGAAGTGCTTAATTTGTGTTGACAAAACTTGTTGCTTCTAGCAAGAACAAAATTTTGATAACATATTTATAGCTTAATTAGAAAGCCAGTTAATTAACTCTCTCAACATGGGCTTGGTCAATTTGACTGACCATATGACCTATTTGTACTCGTTTAAGGTCTTTATAGAGTTAATACTCCTAACTTTCAATATAGTGTGTGTATATCTTCACATAATTTGGCAGTCTTTCAGACAATATTATAAGTCTTTCACATACAAAAAAATCATATTTTTCAGTGAAGTATTTTTAATAAAATAAAATAAAGATTTGTCCAAG